TAAATTCCAAAAACAAAAAAAAAAAAAATAATCCAGTTGAAATAAATACTGGTTACTGCGAAAAAAATGATTTTATCCATTATTTGCGTCCATAAAGGATTTGACAAATGTCAAATGAACTGAAAATTACTGAGCATATAATAGATTCATATTTATATAGACACAGACCATACGACACATGTTTTTTTTCCACTTTTTTTTTTTTATTCCATCGCTGAACAATATACCATTGAGGATAGAGCAGATGGTTCACACCTCATATATTGCTTCCCATAAATGCTACCAATATCGACTGTATTCAAGGGCTGTAGATAGGCAACATGGGAAATCACATACAGAATCTCGTGGGGATTGAAAATATTATCTGATTTTTTTTCCTATTACGAGCAAATTACAATTTCAATTTTCAGAAATAATAATAATAATTGCGAAACTATATAATACGGATGTTTATAAATATTTTTTTTTGATAATTTCAAATATATAATTATAAATATATATATATAATTTACTATATATATCCATGTCAAATAATTTTATAACTTGTTTTACAATTTATACGTGACTTGTATAAATTACCTCTATTCAAACATTGCGAACTCGAAACTTTATTTGCAGAAAATTTGACCGAAGCGAAGTAGTAGCAGCATATAGTATGTAGTACTCTCATTTTCTAAATTTTCCTCTTTCTCTCTGAAACATGTGAACTTCGAATTCGAATGTAAAGCAGTCTTGAAATCCAATATTCAGGAAACCGGAGACTCGGAAACTTTTACGCTCTCCAGTTACACTCGTGGGGTACTCTCACCCCTTGCAATAAAATGTCGTTCCTTCCGCCATGAAGAGACGAAACACTCGAGATTACAGTTCTAGAATTCCAACATCGTCGACGTTGTGCATATATATATATATATATATATATATATATATATATATATATATATATACATTGCAAAAAGAGACGCCTTATGATGAACAAAACGAAAAACAATTCGGAAAATAAGTTAATATAGAAAAAAAATAGAAATTTTCAAAATTAACATTAACAGATTTTGTATATATATAACTGCGAAAAAGTTTGAAAAATTAAATGGTAAAAAAAAATATCCTATTGAAAAGTTGATTTGGATTGAAGTTCAACTGAACATGAAATAAAGAATCATAAAACACAATGGTTTTTATAACAATATTATTAAATTATAGAGAATATAAAAAAGGCGTTTACAGTAGTCCCAGATAGCACGTAAGCTTGCAGCAACCTTGCCGCGTAATATTGCCAACCTTGCATGGAAAGTTTACCGCAAGCTTGCAGCAAGCTTCAAATGTCCCACCTAACCCAACCTTACATGGTAAGCTTGCCGAAAGATTGCAGTGTAAGGTTACTGCAAGATTGCACAGTAAGATTATCGCAAGATTGCATGGTAAGCTTACCGAAAGATTGCGGTGTAAGATTATTGCAAGATTGCACAGTAAGATTATCGCAAGATTGCTCAGTAAGCTTGCACGGTAAGCTTGTCGAAAGGTTGGTGCAAGGTTGCTAAATAACCTTGCCCAATCAGCAGAGAAGTTTGCATTGAAAATGAGGACTATGCGCACTTGCAATCATAAGCACTTACGGCTGCGCAGTAAATTTTTTTGACCTCCCAGGAACTGGTGCTCAATGTATGTACAAAAATAAATTTCCTCCCCCCCCAAAATTTTTTTGTTATATTCCGCAAGCTTGCGCCAAGCTTGCCATAAGGTTGCCGAGAAAACTTGCATGGCAAGCTTGCTGCAAGTTTGCTGCAACCTTCTGTGCTGATTGGCAAGGTTATTTGGCAACCTTGCACCAATCTTGCGACAAGCTTACCGTGCAAGCTTACGGAGCAATCTTGCGATAATCTTACTGTGTAATCTTGCAGTAACCTTACACTGCAATCTTTCGGCAAGCTTACCATGTAAGGTTGGGTTAGGTGGGACATTTGAAGCTTGCTGCAAGGTTGCGGTAAACTTGCCATGCAAGGTTGGCAATATTGCGCGGCAAGCTTGCCGCAAGTTTGCTGCAAGCTTACGTACTATCTGGGGTGCAATGTAATTTTTTTGACCTTTAGGAAGGATCACTTATCAATTAGAAATCTCGCTTTTTTCTGACAAATTTTCAACAACCTACCGGCGACGTAGTTTTGTCGGCTGCTAAGCGATGCAATGCGCGCCATCTACAACTTTCTGGCGCGTTAATTTAAATTAAACGATAATATTAATCAAAAGTAGGTAATTGAACGGCGAAACAATCGAAAACGGTATAAAAATTAAACGAAAAGTAAACAATGTTCATTACAATGTAAGCAAATAAGTGTATAAAGATGATAAAAAAAAACCAAAATAAAAATATAAATTTTTTCCCTAACAATATGGCTTTTTGAAAATCTTAAAAATCAATGTGGGTAAAATCCGTAAAACACAAGACTTTTCCACCCTCTTATTTTGTAAGGGAGAAATAAAAAAGTAAAGAAGAGGAAAAAAAAAGGGAGCAAGTGCCATAGTAGTGAAGTAGGGGAGAAATTTCTTGCAATCTCATAATATTCCCGAAGGAAAGTGAGATCCCCCAAAATCCTTGGGGATTTTAGACGAAATAAAGGGCCGAGTATAGAGGAGAAAGAGAAAATTGCGATGAGAGGAGGAAAAGAGAATAAAGAGGGAGAAATAGAGAGACAGAGAGAAAAAAAGAGATGACACACACCAATAGAGGGCATGGATAAGTACCTGTAAGGTTTGTGGGTTGAGGAATGTACAGGGTTGGGAAACGAAAGATGGCGATTGGGCGGGGTTACCGCGCTATACGAAGATAAAAAGTAAATGAGGAACAAAGGTCTCGCGAGTTGGAAAGAGAAAAAGAGAGAGAGAGAGAAAGAGAGGGGAGGGGAACTGGTTGTAGGAGTGCTCGAGAAATATAGGGGAAGCTTTCCAGTGCCAGACGTGCTGGGAATAATGCACTCCGAATTACGCGGTTGGGTAAAAAGAAGAGCAAAAGAAAATAAAGAACTGGAAGAAGAGTGTAGAAAGAGGAAGAGGAAGAAGAAGAAGGAGAATATGAGAAGAGAGGAAATCAGGGAAAATTAATTAATAGTACCTACACAGGTAATTAAGTTTTCAAAATGTCTTGCCTTAATTTACTTGTTCCTTGATTCTTTTCCATTTTACTGTGAGCGCACCCTCCCTTTACAAGATGCAAGATACTCGATCAAGAAAATTTTCATCTCATCCCATTTCCGTCGCTATATATATATACATTTGCCTTTGACTTTGAGTCTTTATTCCTGCACACTTTTCCAAGTTTTCTTCAACAATCTTTATTTGCAGACTAAAGGAAGCTTTCTATACTTTCCACTTGACTTACCACCAATGACGCTTCATTTCCGTTCTACATAACTTTGGGGGATACGTCCATCTATATATAAATTTTGTCCAAGAGTTTATATCTTTGAATATTTTCAAAAGCATTTTCTCAACCGAGAAAGGGAGATATATAAATAATAGATGGAGGTTTCTTTTTTTAGCTGGAGATATCAAAATATTAGTTTTGTGTATTTTGAATGTCATGTGTATATATGGAAAAGTTAAATATACAATATAGAATTGAAATCTTAACTGGATGATCCAATTGAAATTGTTTCTTTGGGACGCATAAATATTTTCCACATCTGTTGGAATTGTTGAATTTAAAATTATCGAATTTTTATTTAGCAGATTTGTAATTTCTTTATAATAACAAATTTTATCGTCTTTTACTTAAAATGGTGTCTACTTTTCGTAAAAACCAAAAAAATAAAAATTTGCCTATATTATGATCAGCGAACATGTTGTGTATTCCTTTATGTTCCTTAATTTAACACACATAGTTACTTTTCTATATTATGTTTAACATGACATAACATTAAAAAATAAAAATCGAAATACACTTTCCATAACAAGACATACATATTTTGATAAATAAATATATGCATAAACTCAAATGTATACCAACACAATTTGAATTGTAATTTAATAATTTCTAGAATAATAATATTTGCAGACTGTACGAATGAAAGCTTGTTCAACAAAATACACGATGAAATTACATGTTGATTGGCTACATCGCGCAATGTATATTCACATGTGTGCATTTATATATACATATATATATATATATATAATTGCGTATACTTCTGTATATGTATTACGAGCCACAGGCACGAGCTTAAACAAGTTATACCAATTTGCCAATAATTATTATAGTGACGTTAGTTCTCAGGCTTAGCCGCGCTTGGTTGATCACTCTCTGATTTCCCGATGCGTTTTATGCAAATTTGCTTGTGCATCTGAAAGAGAAACATAGAGCGAGGTAAACAGTCATCATCATATATATAGTATATATATAGAGGAATGGTGGATGGCGATTAAAGCAAACCAGCTGGCATAATTATGGTCGATCACACACTCGTGGATTGATTTATGATGCTTAGATAGCCTCTCATCTCCGCACTCGAATAAGATAAACTGCAATGATTGTTATTTATATGTATATAGGAATTTAATAATTTTTTATTTGTACTTGATGCATTTTTTTTTTTATTGATGTGGTATCGAGAATTTTATTTCTATTATTATAAAGAGAAATTTTCTTCATTGGAGAAAAAATTTAATAATGATAATAGGATATCCGTAGGAATTATTTAAAAAGCAGTACCAATTATGCATGTAATTTAATACTTTATTGCGACTTGTTAAATGTTCAATAATCATCCGTTCTTTTGATAATTTTTATATATAAATTTATAATATATTCATGCACAAAAGAAGAGAATATAATTTTGTTTCACGTTATTTGTTATTTTTTATATGATGCAATGCAAATCTACCACGTATATAGTAATGATCCTTTGATGTATCAGTGAATAAGTAGTTTTTTTGTACGACACTAAACCCTTTAACATTTCCCTCATCTGTGATTGATAGTACATTATTATAATTCGTTTTTTCAGAATTTAAAAAATGGAGTAACATATCGGATTGTGGAAGTATATGACCAACGTCTTGCAGTACAACGGATCATAATGGAAGGTGATAAAAGAAGAATAAGGTGCAGTACACCTATAGCCTTCTAAGAGTGAGCCGTAGATTTAGTGCTGAAAGCTTGTGGTGACATCAGAAATAGATATACGGAGACGATCAATGAAAATCGTTAAGTTGAAAGCGGAGGAGGCAACAAATGCTAACCAGAAACGAGAAAGAGGTCCTGCAGATCATAGTCTTTAGACGTTTAGAAGAACATGAAATTTACGATAGAGGATGGTTTAGTTATTCCTTAAAGCAGTTTATAAGTAAAGGCAACAGAAATAGAAGCCACGTACAACGTAGACCTAAGGTAAAGAAAGCGACAACAGAATTTACCGTGGTCATCGGAGTCGTTCAAGGATGTTCGTATGCTGATGTTTTGGGAAAGCTTCGCAAAAAAGTCAATCCAGACGTTCGCCATGTGAGGAGTGGCAACTGTTAAGGGCGCAGTCACATAAAGCAGATTAGTGGATTAACAGAGTAGACGTCGAACACTCCAAATGTACTCCCTTGGGTCAAACAATACACGGCAAAACTGTTTAGCGGATGCACTGCAAAAAGAAGTATCTTATTATAAGACACATTGGAAACCAGTTACCAAAAGTATCTTCCTATCCAACTTATATCTTAAGAAACTAATGCATTTAAAGATGTTTTTGATAACTTAGAAGCAAGTTATAATAAATATCTTAAAAAGGCGACCAAAACATTTTAAAATAATACTTCCTTTTGCAGTGCGGGTGCGTCATTGACAATAGTGCAGGACCACTCGATGTTAGCCTCACAGCTCAGTCAAAATTAGGAGAGTTGTTTTCTTAAAACCTGGAGGAACTGCACTCCCAATTTGTATATATAGTAAGCAGCTGATCGGCACCTTTGGGTTCGTTAATACACATCCAGAATTCAACAGCTCGATGAAAAAGGGCACATGCTCTCTCAAATAAAAAGCTCTTTTTTAACGCAGCATTTTACCTCATTAGGTAAAAATCTCTCTCAACATTTTTTCTGTGTAGGTGACTCCAGCAGGGGAGGCTTTTACCGCGGAGATTATCAAGGCAGGTTGGTGGATCGAAAGGTCACACTTGAGATTGGCGACTTGGATTCTCTTTTTCAGATGGAAGAAGTCCAGGAAGAACTCGATAAGGCAAGAATTAGGAAGATGACGGTCTTAAGACCCAGACGTTGAGGAATAGAAGTCGCGATTGTAGTTACCAACCCAGATGAAGTGGACAGGCTGGAGGAAATGGAACGCATAAAAATTGATTTTACGTGTTGGCTAATTAGAAAGGAGTGTGTTGGTCCTCCGGTGTCACCGAAGTTTTGGGTATACTGACAAATAGGAAGGACTTCGAAGCGGAGGACAAATCTACTGTGTGCTTTAATCATAAATTCGCTGGTTTTAAGAAGACCTCGAGGTGCTTTCTGTATAGGATGCAATTGTTAGGATGGTTAAAACCGACAATGTAGTAGGCAGAAGAACATGCCGAATATTCGGATAATTTTTTGAGGAAACAATGAAGAGTTTGACAAGGCTTCGAAAAGAAATAGACTAGAACAAGAGCTGCACCGAGGAATAGCTTCAGGAACGGAAAGGAAATCTCTTCTACGAAGACTAAAACCGAAACGTAGTTTACTATGGTTCATCAAGTGAGTTAAAGATTCAGAAATACCATTACAGTCCCACAGTATCCAACTTCGGTCTCCATAAAAAATATTTTGACTCTCCCTATCATATAGCAAAAACCATATTTTCAATTTGATACGATACTATCATTGCTGCAAATTCTCCAACAGTAAATAAACTAAAACATGTCATTGAACTTGTTGGGTTATTAATTCGAAATAAAACTAAAATTTGTTTTATATATTGGAAACACGTTTATTTAAATATTAGTAATAAGCTTGACAATGAATACAAAAAGTATCACTTGATACACGAGTAAACTTAGTTACTCTGCTAAAGGTTTCTTACAGACTAAATTGCAAATCATACCTGGATCTTGACGATAATGCTAGTGTAATAAACAAACGGTTCCTCGCAGCTTAGACATTACTATCAGGTAACCAATGGAAAAACTCAGGAGAACACAACATTTAAAATACATAGAATTACTATTTTCAACAGAACTTAAAAAACCCTGACTAATATCTACTGGAGACTCAACCTTATTCCCTCCCTAATAGAAACAAGCGCACAACATATATATATATATACATTGGTATGTTATTCATTAGTATTTCTGTAGTTTTTTCTTGTTTCTCACATACATCTATCCGCATAGACGTACGGTTGTTTCCTCAGTATCCTGTACACTGAAATAATTAATAACCAGTGCGCGCAACGGCGTATCGCCGAGGGGTTAGCGCGGTGCTAAATTCCACACGAGAATTGTTATACCTATATATATATAATGTACAAAAGGGGGGGGGGAAGGGGATCACAAGCCATAGACATTGAGAAGAGAGGGAAGGATGAATCTGATGAGGCTGTTGATACAATCACAAGGTATGAAGGAGGGGAGAAGGGTTAACGTGAAACAGCGAATGAGGAAGCAGTACTGACTATATGCTACGTGCGGATGAGAGGGGTGAAATTGAAGGGGGTTTAAGGGAGGAGAGTAAAGAGAGAAGTATGAGGGACATGAGAGGTGGAAAGGGTTGATAGAGTAAGGGGGGGGTTTGAAACGGCAGTGGCGGCCTATTACCTACCCTTGCCAACATCCGCCAAGCTGGCATTACCCGCGCCCGTGCTAACTGTGTGTATGTTCAACACGCGATTCCGTGTTATCTCATTCCACTCTGGTGTAGCATTCAATCCCTTTACCCCTTCTCTTCCCTTCCCCACCTGCCGGGCGTACCAAACCGAATCCCGTGCTCCCGCACCTATCTCCTGCTTTTCCCAACCAACCCCCCCCCCCTCACTCCCCCTTCTACCAGCAGGCGAATCCCAAACATGCTGTCACAGAGGCGTCGAGCACCTGTTTCCTCGAAATTGACACGTTGCCTTTCCCATACTATGGCAAACCACCCCACACCTCCCTCTTCAACCCTTAGCCCTCTGACAACAGTCACCTAACTCGTTCACCATCCTCATCCCCACAGACCTGCTTGTTCTCGGTCAAGTTTGATCACACAAATACATATATTGTATATATAGTATATATACCCTTTAGGGAGATGATTGGACGGGATGGGTTTCTCTGTTATGATTTGTATATATATATATATATATATATATATATACAATTTTCGTTTTTAATTAAAAATATTATGCACCATAAAGGGTATTTAATTGACAAAGTATTTAATTAAATCGTTGAATTTAATTAGTGATTACATAATGATGTTGTTATATATATTTATTTTGATCTAACAATTTACCCCCTAACTGTTAAATGGAGTAATTAGTTATCTACACGGACGAAAAGGAATTGCTATACAAATGCTAACTGATGTTTGCTATCAGATCTATCAAAATTAATAACCACAGCCAAAATTTTTTGCTATGACAACGAAAAAGTTTGCTATGTATAAACAATATGTCTTAATTTTTAAAAATTTACTGTCACAGCAAACTTTTTTGGCCACGAATATATTCTTAATTTCAGTTTACGGTTTTTTTTGTGCACAGCAAATTTGTCCGCTGTCCCTATATTAACTAACGTAATTTAATGTGGCAGCAAATTTTTTCTATGCGTGCATGACTAAATACTTTCTCATTTATGATGAGAATGTAAAAAAGCGTAATTTTTATATTCAAAAACAGTTAAAGTAATACCAATAATTCAAAATGCCGGATCCAATATGGCGGGCGAAAATATTAAAAATCAAATGAATTTGCTTGAAAATTATTATTTTTGAATTTGTAATTCATAATTGTAATCAGAGACCTCAAAAATCACTCAGTAACAAAGTTTTAAGCTATAATTAATTTGTTTTTATTTTTTTCGTCCAACATTTAAAATTATTAAAATCTAACTTCATATTTATAATCAGCAACCACCAAAACTCCCGTTTAACAAGTTTCACTTGAATCTAAGGATTTTTAATTTTTACCGACATATTGGATCCGCCATTTTTAAATTTGACGTAATCGAGAAAATCTAATGTTAGATTCGAATTCAGCGTAAAAAAATACGTTAATAAACGTTTTTACTTTTCCGGATCGAAAAGTTGACATGACTTTGTTTTTCTATGTAATTAGTGCAATTATACGAATATTGTTGACAGTCAGAATTATAAAAACAAAAAATAATAATTTTGAAATGAAAAATTTTTCAATTTATTATTTGTTTATAGAAGAATATTTTTTTTCAATTCACATTATTATATGACCTTTGCAACTGTCTACAAACCTTTGTAGAGGAATAAATATAAATAACAGAAAATAATAATATAAAATTACAAAACTCGACCTAACAATATAAAATTAAAAAAATAATATAAATAAATAAACTACAAAGCCCTTTGTACTTCAATGTAAATATATACATAACATATAACATAAAAGTCAATTGAAATAATATTTCAATTTAAAATTAAAATTTCCGAAAATTTCCTAGTATTTTAAATCTGTAGAAACAATTTTGCAATTATCTATATCTTTATATATACCTGTTTCCCAATCTGTATGTTTACATTGAAGTACAAACCCTAAGCCGAAGGTCATAATGGATTTGAAATTCTAATGATCAATCAGTTGCAATTCGTGTATTGACCTGTTTAGATTTCGGGAGTGTTCGAAAATTTTTTAAATCGCGTGTGTTTCCATCATATCCTACCGTCCAAAATATATAATGCATCCTTGGATACACCGATTGCAGAACAAGGTTAGATATATATTTTTTATAAATAATATTAACTAAAAATTAATTTAATTAAAAATTGGAATATGTTTTTGTAATTTAAGCTACTTATAAATCTCAATAAGTTTTTCAATGTTCTATATCGGTTTTTTTTTGTGGAAATTTTTATTACATCTTCTTTTAGTATATACACAGAAAAAACTTAGTCTCGTTTTGATATGCAGCAAAAATGAGTCAATGCTAAACGACATAGACAGTGGCGCCACCAACCTGACTCATTTTTGCTGCATATCAAAATGAGTAGCATACGCTATCATTTTGAGTTCAGGTTTTTTCTGTGATTTTATAATGCATATTCTAAATTGCATAAAAAATAACTTAAAAATTTAAATAGAGACAAATATAAAAATGTTTGTACTATTTACTTTAAATTGATTCTTTGGAGGTTAAAAAATTTATCATTTTTCTTTTTTATGAACTTTAGTACCTTAATTGAAATAAATCAAAAAATTTATTAACTTAACAACTATAAGTGGAAAGGTAATTATTTAATAGTGAAATATTTTAAAAGACTCGACCCCCGTATAGGAGCGGTAGGAAACATATAACGTTTCTCACATAAAAATAAATGGTCAAGCTTTACTAACTTGAATATAATCAGTTTATATACCATTCCTCCAAAATTTTAGAATTGATTTTATTAATTAAAATTAAATTCAACTTCGCCTTTCACTCGGGATGCAACATAAGAAATTATTAATGAATCAAAATATGCTTTTAAACTTTAAAATCTGAGTTTACATCTACATGAGCAGTTCAACTTTAGTTGTTTTTACCGCAAAACCACATTTGTACAACTGAATCCAAAATGTGCTCAGGTACTCTAGGTACCTAATTTTGCCTTTTCACCTACAATTTTTACATCACATTACTAAATATCGTTGAGACTCCAACACTAACTAATAAGTTTTATGGGATAATTATGCGCGCCGTTAAAGATTACCAAAATTCTTATATATATAGCTAAGATAATTTTTAGGAAATTCAGTTTTTTCCATAATGTCGATAAGGATCAAATTTAGAGATTTGTATATATATATATATATATATGGGGGAAAATTCCTGAAGTGAACCGATATAAATAAAAAAGGTTTTGGATCGGGCTAAAATTTTTCCTAAATTTAGTACTATGGGTGAGTACTTCACCCACCAAATATTATTAAGTTTTATTAAAAACTGTAGAGGGGGGAGGGGGTTGTAGTTTTCAGTCAAGCGTCAACATTGAGTTTTTTTAATAATGGTAGCTATTATATACTGAAATGAAAAAAATTTTGACATATATGTTTTCGTAAGGTTTTTTCCTGCTCTTTCGAATGGTTTTAAAAATTTTTGAAAAAATTCAAAATTTGACCCGTTTTTTTGAAAATTAAAAATATTTTTGACTGTATCTCAAAATCGGCATTTTTTTTTGAATTTTTTTTTTTTTTGAAATAAAGCTTAAAATATGTACTGTTAGTAAAAAAATTTTGGAAATGTCCTTTTTTTTGTTTTCCAGATATAAATACATTTATTAACAAAAATTATTAAAAAATGAAATATTTCACAAAGGAATAAGTTTAAGGTAACTCTGAGATTAATATTTCAAAGCTTATGAAATTCCGCATCTAATGAGCTATGTGTAAAGTATTTTGAATTAACAGATTGTTAATAAATAATTATCAATGACTGCTAGTTAATTAATTAATTAATTAAAATCTATTAATCCAAAATGCTTCAAATAGGGCTCATTGGATGCGGAATTTAACCATCTTTAAGCTGATAATTTCAAATTCACTCTAACTTTATTTGCTTTTGAAATATTTCACTTTTTATAAATTTTTATTAATTTATTAGTTTATATCTCCGAAACAAGAAACAAGGACATTTTCATAATACATTTTTTTTTAACTTCTCTC